GCGGATGCTACTAGAATACCAAACCGTGCGATCCCACAATCGTCGGGTCGTCGTCCCCCCAAAGAATACATGTGACCGTTGTGTGCGCATGACCGTGATGCAACGCTGCTTGCCTTCTTTTTCACTCTCAGCAAGCTTGGCGAACAAGCGACCAAGGCACTCGTGAATCTTCTCAACAGCGATGGCCTCGTATGCCTGGCCAGCATCACCCACCACGAGACCTGGACAGGTCATCGGCGCCTGGCAGCCCCTGCACAAGCATGGGCCCGCCGACGGCGCAGACACAAGGTGAGAATACTGGTGCACAATGTTAGGCACAGCTGTGTCCAGAGAAGAGAATGACCACCCTGGGTTCATCTGGTTGGAGAGGAAGGTAAACGCACGACTGATTGATCTATATAATGAGCGCGATGGTAGTCGAACGAAACTGCATATGTTCCGAAAACAGCTATGCGTTGGTTTGGTACACTTATGGCGTCCTTGCTCAGGGGGAAGATGTCCACCGCCCCAACACTTTAGCTTGACCGTAGGATAGATATAGGGGACGTGTTCAGCATTAAGTGGGCCTTCCCCTTTAGCCCTGAGGGGCTTCGGGATGGTATAATCGCACAATAAACGGTACCAGGCAACCACCGCGGCCTTGGAAGTATCAACAACGCGCCATCTTTCAGGGGCCTTAGCAATCATATGTAACCACCGAGCTAGATGGTAAAGTCCACTAATACGCCACATCGTGTTCGGGTCCTTGTCCTCAACCGCAAAGCAAATAGGGTCCTGGGCCCCAAAGGCCTTCGCTTCAAATTTCAGTCGGGCCTCTCCAAGGGCCTTATATCGTCGGTCGCCCAGGGATTTCGGTTGGGATGGGCGAGGGCGTCGGGCACGATAGTTAGGGTAGGTCGTTTTGTCGAGACCTTGGGACGACAGCTACCGACGACACGATGTTTGGGTGTTGTCACGCTGGGGCTGGGTCAGAGAGGGAGTAAGTAGGGGTGTGCGTCCGTTCATGTGCATGCGTTCCATGTCGTCACCTCGCGCAGCAAGGTGGAAACCATGCAGGGAGAGCTGGCCGAGAGCCTGATAGTCCTGCTGCCGAAACATACGAGCCACCGTGCAAAAGCGCTTCCTGAGCGCAAGTTCAGGGCGCACCAGTATGCGGACGGATTTGGCCGCCCAAGTCGCCCATGCTGGGCGCGAGGGCCTGGCCTGCTGCGCGATACGGGCAAGCCAACATTTGACAGGTGTCACCTCCGACTGGTGCGACACTTTCACAACGCTGCTGACGGGAGCGGGAAGCTTAATGGAGTGGAGGTAGGACTTCAGGGACGAGCGTACTCTGACACGATCCATCCAAAACGGATACAGTGCTGTGAACTCCCAGACGTTGAATAAAAAAGTCCGCGCCGTGGGTCCGATTCTTGCATATCAGGCCCCGCGGCATGTGCTGATAGTTCGTGGAAGCCCATTTGAGCATCAAGACCGTGCTGCCTGAGCCCGTAATGTTAATCGGGCCCTGCCCCTGCTGTGCCTGCACACGCTGCTGCGTAATCACATCGTACAAGTCACAATATTTATGCTGGAGAAGGTGTTGCCATCTATGACGTGCGGCTAGATACTGCGAAAAAACCCATGCGTTGTGAACATAAGGTTTGTATACGCTTGTCATGCCATTTTTGATTAAGTACGGTCTGTGCCTCCGATGTGTGTTCACATTTCCGTCGTGTCCTCCGGTGTGCACGCGCGCGCGGGCGTAGCCGATACCGTGCACGTAGGCGCCCGAGGTGAGGATTATTGAGGTTGTTAGCAAGCGGGCGTGAGTATGCAATGTGTGCGCTCTCAAGTGCATGCACGTCCTTGGTAGGGGTAATGGCCAGGACGAAGAATAAGAGCCAGGAAGTACATCCAGGTGTAAGTTGTACGTGGCGGCTTCTTTCCTTAGTTGGGGTTCCCAGGGCAACGCACCGTAGGCCTCGAAGGCGTTCCCGAAAACGCCCAGCGCCTCCAGAATACCCCGAGGAACTCCGAACGAGGGATCCCTGGCCGATGTACGAGCTCTCGGAGCCTAACTGGCACACGAAGCTCGAAGAGCCAGTGTTTTTATCCTTGGCCTGAGGCGTCGGCTTGGGGTCCTGGATACACCGAGCCTGCAAATAGACAAACTGAAACAATTCGAGCGCATCCGCGATGCTCGCCTCCCCAGGCCTTGAGAAAGCAGCCTGCTGGAGCGGTGTAAAACTGTGACACAGGCGATGAGCACGCATGCGAGATTTCCGCCCACCACGGAATAGGGCGCGAACGCGGCAAATAGAGATGCACGAGGTGACGGCCGTCAGCAAGACAGACACGTAAGAGCTAACCCCAGCAAGGGGGATACACTTAAGCAAGTCCAACTGAACCACGTGCATGGCTTCTAAAAAGGTCGCCGACGGCTGCGCACATAAACGCTGCCAGAGCCCAGCCGTGAAGACTGTTGCCACCGTCGAAGCATATGGAGAGGAACCTTTAAGATCTGAGTACACCGAAAGCTGGGTCGACCATCCAGTTAGCAAATCAAGTTCCCGAACAACTTTGACCAATACCTGAGAACCGCCAAGCGTGTGAAGTGTCGACCGCTGTCGTAGGTGAATCCGAATGCGGTCGTCGCTGTCGGACTGCAAGGTACCATTAGCACAGGAAACGCGGAACGCTAGGATGGTGAGGAAGAGGAGCCAGCGACCTTGTTTAGTTTTAGTTGTACGGCCGCATGCCCAGATCATATAGCAAGTACCTGTAAACACTGGATTGGTGCACATCCTAACGATATAGCCACCATTTGAGAGAAGAGTATAAGACGAGTATATCATAGCCCACCATAGGGCGAGAAATCTGTCAAGGATTATGGTTAGCTGATATGGATTCTGACGCGGCGTCTCTACCACCTTCCGTCGTCGTGATATCTCAGCCACGAGCGAAATGCTTCTGAGTACATTGGAGTCTGCTGAAACCGCCAGTGAGTGAATTGAATCTCCTGGTGCGTCTCGAATAGTACCCGCGTCGTGTGATTGAAATCCCGATGCGTGATCCATACAAATCGTTCGATCTCCGAGCAGCGATTTAGCCATCGAGAATCTGGGGTGATAAAGCCACCGATGCGTAAAGCCAGTTCGCGATCCACGAGTACTCGATCACGTGCGTGCTGCATATTCCAATGAAAGGTATGAAGGGTTGAGTTACGTAGACCAGGGCGCGGTACACACAGCCGTCAGACGGTAAGTGATCCACTCTCCCTGGGTCACACAAGTGATGAAAAGTTAACCAATCTTGTTTTGAGTCCCACTTCGAGTCCCCGTGGAGGCCTTCGTAGGTCAGGATCCCTGCGAGTTTTCAGTGTATCCTTTTCCTCAGCACAAGCGGGCGAGATCAACCGAGCGGGAGCCTATACGTATATGCGCCGACGTGTCGGCTTGAGCGAGCTCCTAAACCCCCGCTCGGAGGTCTGATACTGAAATGTCTGTGGTGTGAGAAGCGGCAATCAAGCAAATGACACTGATAAGAACAGATACTACTAGCCTGTTGCTTTTGGACCTTGGGAGCGGGAGCGAGACGAGGCAGGGGAGGAAGAGGAAGGAGGAAGGAGGAAGGAGAGAGGAAAACAACAACAATCTTATCAGGCTGTTGGGCTGCTGTCTACTGGGCTCGACCGTCATGCGGATTTCCCTACACTTATCGAGCACAAACAATAAACAACCGAGCGATCGTATTCTGAAACGCTACGCTCACAAGTGTGTGTGCAGGGCAAAGACACGTCGGAACTCTAAGAGAACTGTAAAACGAGTCCAATAGTATGTTGAAAGAAGCACACACGCACACACACACACACACACACACGCCGTCCTCCCCGCGGGAATTTCCCGAACTTGGGCCCCCAATCGCCATCACCACCCACCAACTCACCCATCCACACACACACACATACACACCGCACATAATTGCACACAGTCGCACGCCACCCCCCCAGCGGGGGGGAGGGAATTTCGGGGAATTCCGTCGTCAAGTTCTAAAGTTGCGGGGGAGATCCTCGAAATCCTCCCCCCAAGCCACGAACACCAAACGATTCCACGCAATGCCCCCTAATTATGGTACAGGGGGTATTTCGAGCAACTCGGGCGCCGCAGCGGGCGCGGCGCGCAGCGGCCGCTCCAGAGGGCCGCCAGGAAGGCCGCCCAGAGGGCCGCCAGACGGCGCCCGCAGAAGCCGCCGCCGAGGGTCGCCGAAAGGACCCACGGCGGCCGCGGTCGCCGCCGCCACTGCTGCGGCCGTCGTCGTCGCCGCCGCCACTTGCGGCGGTGCGGGCGCGGCGGGCCCTGGGGCGACGCAGGCCCGCCGCGGGGTGCGGGGGGGGGGGGAGGCTGGCTGGCGGCCGTCGTCAGCGCCGCCGCAGCCAACGCGGCCGTGGTCGTGTCGCCAACGCCGCCGCCGCCGCCGAGGGCCGCCGCCGTCGCCGTGCCACGCCGCAAGGGGGCCGCGCCTCCTGTGCCGGCAGCGGGTGGCGGCTGACGCGGTGGCGGGTGGCGGCGGCCGGCCACGGGCTCCCCGCGGGAATTGGGCGTTCGGTAACAGGGGGGGGGAAATAGCATGGGGTGTGAAGAAGGGCGGGTCTTTCCAGCACCTCTTGTAGGAAGGAACTTCTGGGAGGTCTTCGTGAGAACGATCCAGGGCGAATACGCAAGATGAAAGGCCGTTGAGCCAGGTTAGCACAGATGAAGCCCAGGATTGAGCCCGATGAGGCGTGAATGAGAGGAACTCAGCGGGAGTATGCCAGAATAGGTATTCTGTGTTCCAATGCAGATGTACCAGCGCAGTTGCACCCGAATGAGGAGTGAAGAAACGTTTGCCTTTCCAGCACCTTCTATGCTCGCGGTGGCAGCCTAGAGGCCGCTCAGGGCACTTTCCCGCAATCCTCGATCCATCTCGTTCATTACCCACCTGCTGCCGAACGTCCAAAGGGAGAAGCGCGGCCTCTCCTTCGACGCCGAGATGCCGTAGGTGTCGCTGTACTGCGCGCGTCGCTGTCGTCGTGGCGTCGACCTCGTCTTTGTCGACCTCGTCGTCTTCAGATCTTCCTGAACCTCTGGCGACCTCTGTGGCGCTGCAGAAGGGCGCCTCCAGTAAGACCAACGCAAAATTCGGATGAGGGTAAATCGTGAATTTCTGAGAGCCGGCGGGCCGTTCGAGAGCGCTCCAGGACGCCGAAGAACGATGTGTTCTCATCCTGGGCCTGCCATGATCCGGGAGCCTGGAGACTTGAGACCACCCAGGAATCATCCATGGACTCAGGCGTTTGGCGCCTGGAGCTAACATCGTATCCACTAATTCGTTTGCAAATCTCAGCGGCCGAGGGATGACCCTGTATGCAAAGCAGGCCCCAGCGCAGAGTTCGAGAGATGCACATGATTTCTAGGCCCGCGCACCTTCAAACATAAAAACGGAGGGCGGCTGGCTGGCACATTCTTTGGACAGCCATGGGGGACGCCACGTGAGGAGCGACGGGGCGACGGCTCTGTTTCTGGATCTGGCGATCTTCGGCCACGACTTGGCACCCCGACCTGACGGCTGCAAAACCATATTTCCAGCGCCTTGAATGCACGCGCAGTGCTCACGACAGCCTTGCCCCCCCCCCCCCGCGCACTTCTGCGCTCGCGGCCGCGCCTCTCTCCCCGGGGCCGCCCTGGCTCCTGCTGCAGCGCCCCGAGCGCAGGCAAGGGCGAGGCCCCGATGCCGTGAGAGGCAGCCCGTACCCCGTCGGGCCGCACGAAGCGTCGCAGCCCCCCCGGGGCACCCCGTGCTGGGCGTGTGCCTCGAACGCTGCCTCAAACAGCCTTGCGGTCGTGCGCCGCGTCGCCCCTCGCCCGCCCGGCTCCTCCCGCTCCAGCCCCTGCTGGACCGACCGCTGCCCTCGCCCTCCACCCTCGTCCATCCTCCTGCTCCTCCCCCCTCGTCCATCCCTCGTCCTCCACCCTCGTCCTCCACCCTCGTCCTCCACCCTCGTCCCTCCTCCGCACCCTCGCCCTCCACCCTCGTCCATCCCCCTGCTCCTCGCCCGCCCGCCCTGGCGGCTAGGGGGAGGAGGAGGCGACGAAGCAGGGACGAGGGGGAGCCGGGGAGGCTGCAGGAGAGAGAAGGCCGGAGATGCGACGGCGACCACGGCGGCAGCAGCTGCGGCGGCCTGGGTGGAGTTCAGGCCCTCCACGGCGCACTTCTTAGCGCAGGTCGCCGCGTCGGGGCAGTAGTCATCGGCCTGCGGCTCCCCTTGTCGGCTTCGTCGCAGCCGCCGCCGTCCGCAGTGTGGTCAGTGAAGTCAGTGCCCACTCATTAGTGCGGTCAGGATCGATAGTACCCTCTTCGGCGTCGTCGCCGCCGCCGCCGTCGTCTTCTACGTCTAGAGTCTACATACGTCCACGTCTACACGTCCACGTCCACGTCCACGTCGTCTACGTCGTCTACGCTGTCTACGTCTACGTCTACGCCGTTATCGTCGGAGGAAGAAGAGGAGGTGGATAGGAAGAGGGGAAGGAGGAGGAGGAAAGGAGGGAGACGACAAGCGCAAAGAAGATCAGGAAGGAGACGTCGGGCGGAAAGAGCAGCAAGAAAATGAAGCGGTGGACAACAACGAGGACTGGAAGGCCGATGATGAGGAGAGAGAGAGAGAGAGAGAGAGAGAGATAAAGAGAAAGAGGAAGGAGGCAGAGAACGAGGGGGAGGGTCGAGAACGGCGGAATTAGGGCCTGCGAAGGCCTCAGGAGACGATGGGGAGGCGGAGGGGGCTCCTCCTCTTCCCTCCAGTTGTCCGCCCTGCTCTCTCCCCCCTTGTCCTCTGCTCGGTCCTACGCAATGCCCAACCCCTGGCGGCCCACATGTTGTCCGCTTCGTTGATGCAGTTGGTGTAGCCGCCGACGTTGTGCATCCACCTCCAGCTCATGTCCTGCCCGCGGGACCGTGGAGGGGATTAACCTCCGCTCCCCCTCCCGCCTCCCCTCTTTTACGCTGTTTCGCGCTTCCCACCGAAAATACTACACCACCGCGAGCACACGGTCGCATCGGCACGATGGACGTCAGCATGTGATACCCACGGCCGGCAAGCTGTCACGAAGTGATTCCGAACACCGCACGCCAGGAGGGGGAGAACGAGAGGAACGAGGCGGAAGAGGAGTCTGACAAATGATGCCTGGAAAAATGCGATATGCTCGCATCCCCGCACAGCCCAGCAGCAAAACCCAATCGCCATCTGATAGCAATACGCCTCACACAACGGCAACCAAGACGCAAACCTCCACGCCCTCCCAATCGATCTCCGTCTATTCTAACATATTGCGTTGATTGTGGCATTGACTATCTCTCTCCCTTTGTTCCGAATGTGTGTATCGATATATATATATATAGACCGATATACACATATATATACACATACATACATACATACATACATACATACATACATACGTACGTACGTACGTACATACATACATACATACATACATACATACATATATGCATACACATATATACATACGTATGTGAGTACATTCGGCCCAGGGGGAAGTGAGAAGGAGAAGACCTTTCCAGAAGGTTTGGACTACCCCTGGATTTCTGGAAAATGTTATGGGCCTTGCGCGAAGACACGGAACACTATCCAGAACGCGCAAGGGCTTTTCAGAAGCCCCGCCGCCTTCTGAAAACGTCTTCTCGTTCTCACTTCCCCTCGTCGCCCGCCGCCGAGATGCAAGTGTCGCTCCGTCTCTCCCTCTCATTCTATCTCGTCCTCTGTATCTCTATCTCGCACTCGTACTTTCTCTGGTGGCTCTGGATCTGGTGGCTGGAGTTGCCATACCGCCCCCTCCCTGGCGCCCAAACGGCCTTTCACCGCTGGGGGTGCAGAATACAGATTTATGTATATATATATATATGCGTAGAGAGAGAGAGAGAGAGAGAGAGAGAGAAAGAGAGATCACACATACGTATACATGTAAACACACATATATGTATACATATATATATATATATACACATGTTTGTTATATAAAAGGAAGGGGCATAACGGTCATTCAGTGTCCTTGGGTCCGTAGCTGAAGTGAAAACCCGTGGTGACCATTATGCTTGTTGCGTTGTTGTTGTTGGTGTTGCTATCTATTGTCTCTGTTGTCTTCGCCCCCCCCCCACGACCCACCCGCGACCCACCCCGCGACCCACCCGCGACCCACCCCGCGACCCACACCGCAACCCAACCCGCGACCCACCCCGCGACCCATCCCGCGACCCACCCCGCGACCCACCGGCGACCCACCCGCGACCCACCCCGCGACCCACCCGCGACCCACCCCGCGACCCAGTTGCACCGCGCGACCGATCCACGTCGGTTTGAAGAAAAATCAGCGCCTGCGGCGGGCTCGTTGTATAATGTATGAAACTTTGGTGCGTGCAGCAGGCTTCTCCAAAGTCTCGCAGACTGCCGACGTTCCCACCGCTGTCTGGCTCTCATCCGCATCTGCGGGGTGCTACGGATATATCGCAGCTGAGTCATCAGCACCAAATCATGTTGGCCTGCTTTGGAGCTCGAATAAATGTGGAACCAGCTGGGTTTGTGATCTCTCTCACACTTACACTTACACTTACACTTACACTTACACTTACACTTACACGTACACGTACACGTGCACTTACTCTTACACTTACACTTACACTTACACTGACACTTACACTTACACACACACACACACACACACGCAGCAGCGCCCTGAAGGCGGACCGGCAAAACCAAGCGGAAATCGAGTGCAAACTTGCGCGCAAGAGCGCGTTGGAGAATTGTGACCACTGTATGGCGTGGCGCCCTGCGGTCCAACGTGGCGCGATGGTTAGATGCGCGGCGGGTCAGGAGGCGGGGCGAAGGATGGGGGATGGGAGGGGGGCGACGAGGGGGGGTGGGGGGGCGAAAAGGACGCCAAGCACACGTTTCCACAATATGCTTCAACAGCCGACATTAATTCCGCAGCGTTTTGCAATAGTAATTGTTGAGGCGCATCAGAACTGCCAGCGGCCATGTCCACAGCATGCGAATACAAGTAAGATGCCCATTGCAAGCGAGAGCGCCCTTGAGACCAGGGGGCGCCAAGATCTTGGCAGTATGTCGCGCGCACTCAGGAAGACCAGTGCTCTTGGGAGGCTCCAGTTGCTCTCCTGGGCAAGTCCCCCGTGGAACTGGAACTGCTTCTCCAGGTGGCCCCGCGATCGCCGGCGGGCCTGGGCAGTTTGCCTCGCCACCTCGCTGCTGACTCTGGACGCGCAGGTAGGCAATATGTTGCGCATCTGTCGCACAGCTTCTGCACGTAAGCTGCCGAGTCTGTTCCCGTCCGCTTTGAAGGACATGCGCCACTCCAGGCCATGCAGCAGCTTCGAGAATGCACCAGATGCCAAGATCCGCTCCTTATGCTTGTCACTGCGATTCGCGCGTTTCCAAGTGATGCGCAGCTGTTGAACACAAAAAACCTTTTGTCTCTCCCGGTGGCCCTGTGAACTCTGCGCGGAGCCTGCCATCTGCGCTTGACATCCCAAATGCACCGCGCGGTCCTTGCATCGCATATCTGCATCCACCACCTAACACGAGAGTTGATTCTTCCGAACGTACCCTGACAAGCACTTTTTTTGCCATCGTGCAGTTCCAGCCCGCGCAGCTTCCCGATCGCTGCGACTAATTCCAAGTGCTTCTGGAGGGCGTCTTTGCCTTGCGCCACCAGCGTCGTCAGCGTGGAGTGCGTTGTCGGTTGCCAGGCATGGCTTCGCGAGCCTGTCGGGGACTTCCACGGCCGTGCGCCGGCCCATTGTTTCAGGAAGCACAGACATGACTATGCGAATAGGGTGCGGCGATAGCGGGCAACCCTGGACAAGGCCGCACTGCTTGCACGCGTGGCGAAATTCTTCCACTTGCGTCCTGCGCGACGAATTTCCGAACCCTGTTGATGTCCTCGATCATGGCGAACATCTCGGCCGGCGCGCCAAATTGCTGCATCGCGTAAACGAGCCCTGCCGTTGAGATGCGATCGGAAACGACACAGCAATCCAAGAGCGACACTAAGAGCTGCCCGCTCCTATCTTCCAACGCTGCATCAATCATCCTTCGCGCAGAAATCCACGGCAACCCAAGTGCTGTGATGTTCCCGGAAATCACACTGAGATCCCCACAGAGCGTCTCCAGCACCTCCGCACTTGAGTCTGCTCAATAGTATGCTGGCAAGACTCTTGAAATCCACTGCGAAGAAAAAGATTGGGCGGTAGTTCCAAGGTTGAGACGCGTCGGCTATTTTTGTGTTGCTTTGAGCGTTCTGGCGACTGACGCCCACCCCCAAACTTATGGGATACTCTTGTCTATCCAGCACGCATTGCGCAATGGTGCAAGCGTTTCTAATGCTCCGTCGCGATCAAGAAGTGCGGGCCATTATTCCGGGGGTGTCCCGTTAGCCACAGCAGCTCGTTGCAGGCGAAGATATAATACAGCCTGTCCTGTCTCTTCCAGCGCAACGGAACCTGCGTCGACGTCGAAACATGTCTCTCGAGCGGCACTGGGCGGTACAACGGCGTCTGCAGCAGGGGGGCGCCTGTGCGCAGTTTCCAAATATGGTGTCGATGTGCTAGCTCATGCTGAAGCATCGGCCGATTTCCCCCCAGCGCTTCGGAGACGACCACACTTGTGGGTTTGCCCTCTCCGCCACAGGTTGACTGTGTCTCAGCTATTATTGCGAGTGGTGTCCGATAGCCCATTCTTCATGCCTGGAGTGGCGGATTGTTGTACCATCTTGTTCAGAATGTCATCTTTGTTGCCCGTCTGCCACGCCTGGTTGCGCTCTTCGACGAAGTGAAGAGCGCGGCCCAGCATCCGAGGGCGCTTCCGACACGCCTGCCGGCCTGGACGAGCAGCGGCGGCTGATGTCGACGTGCACTTGGCCGCTGCAGCAGCTTCCTCTCGCGCGAGATCGCGCCTCTTCTCTTTTGCCAATGTTTCCAGAAGTGTTTCGTCTGCGCACGGTTGATGTCAGGTGTTCCCAAAGCCCTGCCATATGGTTTTGGCTCTCGCAATCGCCTGCCATGCGTTCGGTACTGCCGCATCTAGGTCCACAATTTGTATACAATTACGCGATTGATATGGCTTGCGTCGGTCACTCCAGACAGCCACTGAAAGCCATTGCTTCTCCACAACAAAGTAGTCCAGCTGCTAAGCTCGCCCAAGCGAGATGTTCTCCAGCGGCTTAACTCCAACATGATGCAACGCCACTGCTTTCCCACCCTCCGCGTGGAAGTGCGCATTTGCAACGCGTGCGCCCCATGAGACGCAGCGCCCGATAACAAAAACAAGCCCTGTTTGAAGTGTGGCGCCAAAGCGAAAGTGGACTCCTGAAAGCGCGCTGTCCACGTGCATCTTCTCCCATTAAATAACAGTCCAGGAGCCCGGCGTTGAGACCGCCAGAACGATGGTTGGCCCACAGAGCCCGCATCTTACAGAGAACGATGTCAAACATGGGTGTAAATTATGCCGCGCGTCATACTCGCGCTCGCTCGTCCAGAAGTAAACTGCAACCAACGCCCATGCCCCACCGTCTACTCGCAGCCGTAAGATTGCCATCCGGCTGTCTGGCTGAATGGGCCCTGGTACTGCATTGTTATGCCCATGCAGATGCCGCGAAACCAACGCCCGCGCAATCCCCCCCCCCCACCCCCACGCCCTCAAAGGATAACAGAAAAAGCCATCGAAACCAAGCGCGGGCGACCCGCGGCAGTGCGTCTCTGGACGACAGAGCGCCGCGATGTCCAGGCCCAGCGCGCGGTTAAGTAGTTCGTAGAGTTTGCGCGGCAGGTGCGCGCTGATGCCTTCGACATTCCACGCGGCGGTTCCACTGCCAGAGATAGGCGAGCTACCCATCTGCCCAATCATGGCGC